ATTGAGGACCCTGGGGGGCTGTATCCGGCCCCCGGGCCATAGTTTGAGGACCCCTGTTCTAGAGGGTACAGGCAGACCTACAATTCTTTTGTTCATACTTGGGTATGAGTCACCCTCATCAGACAGCAGGCTGGGCCTGGAGTCTGGGTTCGTCAGTGAACAGCTACAAGGGGCGAGGGGCAGGTCCCAGGGCTCTGCCTGTGCCCAGGACCTGACCTTGCCCAGGTGCTCCAGGGTTCAGTTGCAGTCCCACCCAGGTGGGTGGGAATCCTCAGAGTTGTTGTCATATCCTGCCGCTGTTGCACTGGTTAGGAATTGCTTGCCACTGACTTCCATGATCCATATCTTGTCTCTTACGACATGAAATTTTAGAAAGAAGTCCAATGGATCAGCGAAGTTGAACACTGTATGCCAGCTTTTCAAAGGGTGTGTAGCTTTAAGTACAAAGGCACAGAGAAAATGGTAGGTACACAGGTCTTTCCCACTGAATCTGAAATGAACCCACTTGTGATTTTTAGTGGGCAGAGTTTACCTCCAACTTACCTTCCAAGCTTCTTCCTAAGTGGAGCAGCAAACGAATCAGAGAAGGTTGATGTTAATGTAACAGTCAGAGAGGAAAATCCCACATGGAGTTTCAGGCAGACCAGCTCAAACAAAAGGAGACTGAACAGAAAGTTCCCATTCGACAATTTTACACTGCAGATGACAACAGGTCTGACTATCACTCGGTCCAAGTTCTCAAAAATAAAAATAATAATTTTAAATAATTCTTTTTAAGGAGAATTGGTTTCAACCTTAAAAATCCACATTACCAGCTTTCCTTATTGTAGCTGCAGTGCATGCATAGGCAAGGCAGGTGTCCAGAGGGGGGGAAAAAAGCTTACTGCATCAATGGCTGCAGCTGAGGACACTTCCAGGCTCCTAATGCTCAAAAAGTGTATCCCTTTCTTTTATCTAATGGAATACAATTTTATTCTCCTATGAATCCTACCTTTTGTGGCTGGAGACTAAAGATAATAGCAATACTATTGGTAATGTGCACCGGTAAACTGCATGGCAGAACCCCCTCTAAACTCATTATCTAGGGTCAAATTCCTCTCCTTACTGGAAAGGATGTATTTTTTAAATTGCATAACATAGGGGACCAAGAATGGGACTGTATTATTTTTATTTTATTTTGGAGGATTTTTTTTCCAGCTAAAATAGCTGCATTCTTCAGGGGCAGGGCTCACCTCCCAACTGCATTTGTTGCAGTATATTACTGAGGCCTGATGCAGCTGACCATAAAAGAAGTTTTGTTTTTTTTCTGTGCAAATAATGCCTTGTCATTTCAAGCTCTCCATCTTGCATACTGGAGGTTTCTGCAACCTTACTGGTTCACATATAAAAAATATAAATCCTGTATTATTACATTACTGATCCCTCAGGCACCGGCTATTTCTGCATTAAGAAAGCTTGCTCATCTCAGTTCTCACAAATTCTGCATACTTTAGAAAAAGCCAGTTTTATCCTCTGGCACTCCTCAGTCCTGGATCTCTGTTCTTCCCAAGGAAACTTCCAAAATGTTGTGAATTCTGAACAAATGAAGACGAGCCTAAATACTTTGGAAGTGCTCTATATTAAGACCACACTGTAGAGGAACATATTTTAACATGCTAGCACAAAATGAGCTTTTCAATATATAAAGTAATGTGGTACTCAAATTTTCATCTCAGGAGCCCCAATAACACAATCAAACTGCTTTTCTGTTAAAACTCTTCCATACGTTATATGTAATATTGTATATAACTTTATCCATGATCTAAAAGTTGGTTAAAAAGTAAAATGTTTTAAATAAGTTTCTTGAAAGCACTGAACGTTAAAAATAACTACAAACCAGGATTTTTCTTCATATTTTTTAATAGTTTCACTTTTAAATACTGGTTTAAAATTTGTGATTGTAACATGGAAGAGCCAACTTCTTTTAATTTTTAAAACTTACCATTAGGATCATAAAGCTATTATAGAACAAACAGTTACACTCTACACACTCTAGGTACTAAAAAATATGATTCATGTTTTAAGTCTGTAGATGAACAGTGGCAATTCAAATACAGCATTATCTGTACAACTTGACAAAAATACAGGTGGACAATCTGATTAAAGAGAATCTGCACAACTTCAGATAAGCCAGCTCAGCCCAATTAAGTAAAAGGTTGTTTGGTTTTTTTTCTCAAAGTGCTTCACATTTTTCACAGATAAAGTTGTCAAAATAAGACGTTCAGGTTCTCAGACAGGCTAACAGTGACCATCTCCTTCTCATTCCCAAAACAAATTCTATCAAGTCATTTCCTTCAGATCTAGCTGGGCCAAAGTTCACCTTCTCCAAATGGACATAGATACTTGAGAGAATGATTATCTGATGGAGAAGACTGTTGTGTTCTCAGCCCTTCAAATTGGTTCAGCTTATAAAAACATCCACTCTAGAGTCAGGAGCCGCTTCCACAAAGACCACCACAGCTGTATAAATACGACTGATGCATTGATGGGAAGAAGAGAACTCCGAGTGCACAAGTTTGTGGCAGTGTCCAAAAAGAGAGATGGGCTCAAGAGACAGGGCAAATTTTATGAAACCAAAAAAGCAAGATCCCTTCTAGAAGAAAAGATCTAATGTCTGCTTACAGACAGACAATCTGGAAGGCCTACAGAGAACTGCCTTTTTTTCATCTGGTTTTTTTTTTAAGAGGTAAATTAATACAGATTTCCCAATCTTGCAACTCCTTCCATATTCTTTAAGAAGCCTCTTACAACTCTGACTGGGCAGGGCTAGCTGTAGTGAAGTACCAGTGCCTTTATCTAGAAGTAAAAGGTATTCTTTACAAATAGTATCTGTAGTGTAATTTTATTTACAGAGTAAATCGCCAAAGTACATCACATTTAGTGCAAATGCAACTAATGATATAAGTTTATATACTGCTTTGTAAACTTTCCATACCTTTGTAAAATAAAGCTATCCAATTAAATTAATAAACTCACCTGTGTCAAACAATTACCAGAAATAGCAAATAAGGAGTTAAACTCTGTATTTTGGATTTTTTTTTTTTTTTTAAGTTCCCATCAGTGGCTATGGTGGAATGAACCATTGATTTGTCGATTGTAAAAAGATGAAGTACATTTGAGGTATAGGATTTTTTTTTTTTTTTACATCACTATATAAAATGCTCACTGGTGATATAGTAAACATGTACAAATTTTCATCTTATTTGCCTTACTAGTATTACCATATAGGCACTTTTCTACATATTCAATTAACAGAATAACTCTGTAATAAGGCATATTCCATGCACATCATTAGAGAAAGGCAAATAAAAAGGGAGGAGTTATGGAGCATGAAATCTGCATGCATGTGTAATCAAGTGTTATGTATGATTTCATCTCTACAGAGAAGATGAAGAGAAAGTTTTTGAACATTGTGCAGACCACATTTAATAATTTACCAAATCTTCACTGAGTTACTATGTTATGTTTATTTTCAGGCACCTACCATAATATATCATATAAGACTTTCAGTTTTCTTTTTGGGGGAAAAAAGGAACTTTTTTCTTGAGACACACAGATTAGTGAAACACTGAGCAGTTTCTGAAGAGTTTCCAGCTGTGGGATATGGACAAAAGTCCTCAAAGTCAGTACCAGTCTGCAACTGTCCTCTCCTAATGAGCATCTCCAGAATCACAGGCAGGCAAATATCTGACATTTAAATTCTCACAGCAACTAAAGGGAACTTTCCAGTAAGAACTACGCATCCTTATAGCAAATAATTTTCTATGTGAGCCTCATAGCATGGTTTTGTTAAGATGAGGAAAACACATGCAGGATCTGAAAAAAACGTACTCATCTTCATTCTAGACTGGGAATGTTGTCTTACGTAGTCCAAATTACTTCAATAAATACTATTGTGTACCTTCTCACAGCTCTGGGAAAGCCCTGGATATCATGCAAGAAAGCAGTCCACATATAGCAGGGACAGATGACTTGTAGCTTTCAGGCAGTCTCTTGCCCTCTTATACAGAATCTTCCTAGATATTTCTGGGTCATGTTTAATAACAAAAATAATGTCACACACATTACATAACTAAAAAATACAAGAGAAATATAAAGATATCTGGAAAAAATAAAGCTTTTCACACTCTTACTCCTTCAGAACCAAAGATCCTCATAAGAGTAAGACAACAGAAAAGGCAAAGTCATAAGGATATTGACAGCCCTCAGTTATTAACTGACATTTTATGTAACAAGATGATTCATTATAGAAACCAGCAGCAATGCACTATGATTATACAAAGTAAAACAAAACCTGCCAGTAAGTCACCCAGGCTTTACTGAAGTCCCTCCCTCCAAAAATACCACATAGATTTTTGTGCATATAAAGCACATACAGTATGCTATATGTGCATTTGTCTTTTGTGCTTTTTAGACGTGCACAAAAACTGTGTGAGTATCTTAGGAAGGCTGACAGTGAAATTCTGCAAGTTGTTTAAAAATTAAAGCAGTAATCCCCATTGATGATTCAAAGTTGTAAATGTTCTTCCTTTTCTAAAGCAAGCAAATAAAAATAGAGCCATATACATGTTATCAATACATGTATTTATAATTACACACTGATTCAGCAAGAAAAGTTAGCAGGAGAGAGCTAGTGTTAAATATTCAGCCTCATGGTGTTGCAACACTTCTTCACTTCATTATACAAAGCCTAGAACTTGGGCCATAAAAAGACTGTAGATCCTTCGTTCCAGCATGGAGTGGTCTATGCATGGTCACTTCTCCAACGCGGAATGCTCACCCAGTCTTGTTCCAATTGCTGCAGGTAAGCAAAGACAAAAATGTAGCAGTGAAAAGTTTGAACTCTAATACGAAAACAAGAACTTGTTTAACACCTTAAATAGTATCAGCACTGCTATGATCACGTTTGAACTGTTGGCTCATCACAGCCGTGTTTTCAATGGTTCATCTACGCTAGTTCTCTAGCGCTATGCAATTAAAAACGTGAATCATTACAGGGCTACCTGTTACAGAAGGAACAAATGACTAAGATTTTCGGAATCTGACATAATAAATAGAACCCCAAAATAGAGGTAGCCTATGTCACACACAGAAAAAGTGATAAAAACTAATTTTCAGATCATGCTATAATACTAGAACTACCAAATGGAATTCAATGGTTTGACACTAGTTATACATAATGAAGTATATAACAAGAGCACACGCTAACAAAAATTAAGTGAAGCCTTACTTAACACTAGGGTTTATGCCTGACAGATAGTTATACATAATGAAGTATATAACAAGAGCATACGCTAACAAAAGTTAAGTGAAGCCTTAACACTAGGGTTTATGCCTGACAGACCCAGAGGGCCCCAAAAGTGATCAAGAAATCCTCTACTAATGTCATATAATCATTTAAATGTTAAATTAATTTTAGATTAGCCTGATAATCTATACTATTAAAATACATCCATTGACTTTAGAAAGCATCTGTAAATACCTTTTCTTAGGCTCATTAGAAAGGCTAAATTTAAGTCACAGCCTTTTAAATACCCCAGTAATAGACACTGGTCTGTCAAAAAAATTCCATTAATAAAAATCCTAGATCAAAACTATTCTGTCATTATAAAAGAATACTTGGACCTTTATAATATTCTATCAAATCTGCAACTGTAAGTAGAATTTAAGTTATCAAGACCTCATGAGTCTCTAAACTTCAATATGTATTGTTTTCAGAACAAGTATAAAATGCCTGTGATAGCTAAAACAATACTTCATCTTTTTATACTTTTACGTAAGTTAGACATGTACACAAGAACTTGACAGATAAAACTAGTAAAAGGACACAAAAACTAATACTTGATAACCTGTGCAGCTCATTTTTCCTGCTAGTAATACACATGAATTTAATTAATGTTTTAAAATATATTGTATACATATAGTAAAACTAAGCACTGAATTCATTATAATCATAAGACATTTCTAGATTGCATAGTCCTGTTTGGTCTTAAATTTACAACAGTGAATCAAGTATGAAAAAAATGAATGTATACCTGCTAATACTAGAATAAAATAGGCTTTCCTGCTGTTTTCTCTTGCACATATGATGTAAAACGCTTCAAGAATTTTGGATATTCTCGTTTTGCCACTGCCCGTAACACTGATGCTGGTGCCCATCCTCCGGGGTTCACTAGAAGTAGGCAGCAAGAAAGACACTGAAATACAGCAAATCTGATAAAGGCTAGAAGAGAAAACTAAGTTCATTACACCTGTAACTCTTTCTGAGGTAAAGGAAAGAATAATGAACAACAGATTTTTTTTTATGCCCTTACAGCTTGTACAGTAGTAATTTGTACTCTTAATACTCAAGTTCAGTCCAGCACTGTGATGCCACTATATAGAAAATACTAAACCTAATGTGTTGTGAATCTTCGGGGAATGCCCAAATGGGAAAGATTTACTGAACCAATTTTTCAGACTTTGTCTCTTTAGTAAGCCTTAGTAACCACCTTTAAAAGGTGGTTAAAAGTAATAAGCAGGTGAGCTACTGTAAGTGTTTTGTAGCTACAGAAGAGGAGCTAATAAGTATGTAGCTCCAATACACTTCTAAATACTGGGTACAGTAACAATATAGTTTGGCTTTCTGAACTCTGCAGTCAATACCAAGGATTCTATCAGTTAAAAAAATTTTTTAAAATGTAGACTAGATTATACAGCTTGTAAACATCCTCATACAAAATGTATTTGCTGCTTCATAACACAGAGGGTAAGAAGTGCATCTTCACTATCAGCAGCCTTTTAGCCTAACAAGATTAATCAGGGGGAAAAAATTACAGCAATACATGAAAAAAACATACTATTAATGAAACTAAAAGCTATGCCAAGTCATCCCAGTTGCAGACATTTCTTCTGCCCACCCTCATCCACCTCAAGGTTCTGAACTTAAGAAAGAGCTACACACCACTTCCATTTATTCCTCCCAGAACGCCACACAGTGAAGGATCCCATTCACTGATTCACGTAGCATTATTTTGAGTCTTTTTGAATGTGAAGACCACAAGTATGATGTTTATATATACACTGAACAGAAAACTGCATCAACCATTTTTTGTCAGTATTCAGCTTCCCTGAACATCATACTGAAAAATTTTAGACTTACCATTAGCTACATACGTAATCTTGCATAGGATGTTGTCCCTGCTTATTTCCTTGTTCCCCTCTGGTGGGCTTACTAATGTCTGACAAATCATAGCAATATTTATTTTGGCACGGACACAGCGATTGTTCAGCTGCCAAAAAAAAAAAAAAAAGAAACATTTGTAAGCCTCGAACTAAACCTGTTTCAGCATACTTCACTGCTAACACTTTAACTTACTAGGAGGTCCAAGATACTCCAGACGTTGTGTTTCTGAGAGTTTTATTGTAGCACTACACGGATGTAACATGAATGGGGGTGAAACTGAAGGTACATTGTGAATAGGGAAAGGGTTAAACTGAAATGTCTGAATCTCAGGTTTCTGCTTGCTTAGTACATATTACAAGTAATTACTTCAACTATTGTGACAAATGAGTAAGGAAACTTTTAAAGAATAATGTACCAGCATTTACAAATACCAGTTACTAACTTTTGCCTTGTAAGCAGGCTATGGCAGTCAGAACAGAAATACTCCAAAGAAAACAATCACTGCTCCTATCTGACAGAACCAAGGCAGAACTGTACAAGATGGAGGTTTAACAGATTCCGTATCTACAATTATACAAGCCTATTCCTATATCTGACAATACTGAAGAGTTATTGATTTGATTCCATACAAAATAACATAAATTATTTAAGATGCTTTCACATGTCCAGAAATTTTGCTTCCATTCTGCTGCAACACAGATCTGCCAACTGTTAAGATAAGGCAAGAAAGCTTTTGGCTCAGAGTGCCTTAATCAGGTCATGTATCACCAGTTTAAATAAACTGTATTTTTGCATAACCCCCCACCCCTTCCTCACACTAGTACTGCACATTCATTACCACATAATAGAAAAACTTGATAGAATGAAAATAATACTTACAGGAGCACTGTCATGTTCCACAGAGAAATTGCACACAATCCATGTTTCAGGATCATTTTCACTGAATGCTGGTATCTTTCTGATGGCAGACAAATACAGCACATCCCTTTGAGAAGCTGGCCACACCCTCTGCAGGGAAACAACTGAATATAAGCTCTTCCAGTTTTGCAAATTAAGCACTTACTATACTTACATAAAGGAAAAAAACAAGGCAAACCAGGTCAGTTATATTATTTAAGTAAAAGTTTTTTCATATCAGGTTATATGGCTATACTTCATTATAAAATAATTTAAGGCAAAAGTGAAAGGCCTTTGAAATGCAGAAATTCAAGCTGCAATGACTTTTTCAGTAGACAAACAGGAAAAGGCAGATCCCCTCCTGTTCCATGAGCCTCAGGTTTACATTTAAGTTAATACTTGTAAGTTACAAACTGAACAAGTGGTTAAGTATAAATAGATGCATCTACAGTTACTTATGCCTCCAGAAAGAGAGTGAGTGAGAGAAATATTTAAAACAAGTATTATTAAAAAAGCTACTACTTCAGAAGGACAGACAGGGTAAACTGTTGTTATCTAAGACAAAGTTTCAGAAGCAAGATGTCTAACAAAATAAGAAAATATACAAAAGCCATTTTCCCGACACTCAACAGGGGAAAAAGGTCTAGGTTTTACCACAACACTACACAGTTTAGACAACTGTCTTACTCAGAGTGATGAGTCCTCTGTTACAGAAGTTTTAAGGTAACTGCATTACGGGTAAAATTGTCAAAGAAAAATATTTTGTTTAATATTTGAGTATACTACTAACGGGAATCATGCAAGATTAAAGATGAATCTGTACACTTCATTCCCATTTTTTTTAACATTTAAGTTAGAGCTGTTGTGTTATAATTCAAATAAACATTTTAGTCAAGCTACACTAGAACTGGTTGTGGGGGGAAAAACTTAATGAAGTTACAAGAACAAATGTACCAGCAATTATACCACCTCATAATGCAAACGTGTGTGTCAACTAACTGTGGTCAACAATAGCTTGCATTACTGCAACAAAACATGTGATACAGTGGTATGGGCTTCTTCCTGTAGTCAGTGCTGACTGATTGCTTCCGTTTGCTTTAGATTACTCTTGCTTGCTGGCAGTGATAAATTTAGAGATTAATAACAGTCCTCATTTACTGTTACAAGCTCTATCAGACACATGCAGAACCAATTATGCTATCAAGACAAGTTTGAAAAATTGAAAAAGTTGCAGTTTAACAGAAAACTTGTTCTGAACTGTTGTTCCGAACAGTATTTTAAGTTGTTAAGCCTTTAAAGTATTTCAGAGTAAGATTAGAACATACACGCCCCAGACTGTCTCGGTAAGGTATGCATATGGCTGAAGTGTTATTACCTTATGTGTCTGGTAAATGATGATTGCATTATCAGCTAAATTTTCCACAACATGGAAATTTTCAATTGTTGCTAAAAGACGATGGAGGGGGAAAAGAAAAATCCATCAGTAAACAAGCATGGATATTAGGTGAATGTTATAAACAATATCCTTGCTGATAAACATGCAAAGCTTAAGAACCAGTTCCTTACTTTCCCAGTCATTACGAACATCAACATTCCAGAAGTAGTGGCAAACTTCATGCCCTGTTACCCCTTTAACGGCATGGGTTGCTTTTAAAGGATCTAAAACTATTCCGTTCTCTTCCACCTCTCGTCTGTATACCTATAGGCAAATACAAAGAAAGAAATGTAGAACAAATTGTCAAAACTATTCAGGTTTTCATTGTTTAAAATTTCATCAGGTTTTAAAAAAACACTTACCTAGAAGACTAATACATGAATAATTTGCTATGTCAGTATTCTCTGGTAACTACCAATGCAGACATTCTTACATGGCAGTGCACATTAAAATACCTGTATTTTAAGAATCTCTGCTCCAAAAATGATTAAGCTACCTTATTTATCACTATGGACAAGGATTCACAGAAGCACAGTAGAGCAGCCAAAACAGTAACTTTCTACCCTAACACTTTCATACATCAAACTTACACATCATTTTGACACCAAGCTTTAAGGAGGAGAGAATGAGAGAGGAATCTGCAAAGACAAAGCTATTGCAAGAGTAACATAGGATTTTGTATTAATATATCAGAAGCCGTAACTCTTGTGGTCTCCAGTCTTAACTTAAACAATCCTATTCTCAGAGGAAGTTTAAACATTAACTTACTGATAGTATCCCCAGAGAATCATAGAATCAGTTAGGTCGGAAAAGACCCTTAAGATCATAAAGTCCAACCATAAACCTAACACTGCCAAGTCCACCAGACTGAAAGTATCTCTCTGCAGTTTATCATCTTATATCAATTACACAAAACCCTAAACATTTACCTTCATTTCTCCTTCTTCTACCACTAGCTGCCAATTCGCATCTCCTCCTACATCTTGCAAGGAATATGTCATATGGTTTTGTACCATCTCTTCCACCTTTAAAGGAAAAAAAAAAAACAAACAACAACACATTTTTAACTCATTCCTTACATCTTCTTGAGCAGAGACTGTAGTATTGGAAGCCACAAGTCAATACTTCAAATCCTCAGCAGGAGCTGAATTTGGACAACAGAGCTTTCTCTTAGAGGTTAAGAACAAGCAGATACTTCTGGCCTTCAGAAAAAAAAAAAGCTAAAATTTTGATTCAACTTCCAACTTCATTCTTTATGGGTACTTCCTATCCTTCCTTTGCACCTCTAAATTGTCAACTCACTATTTCTACTTAAGACAGTTTCATTTCAGCATATAGGAAATTACTTCAGGTAACTCTAAATAGAATTACAATGCACTGTAAGCTATTCACTGAAGAGCATTTAGAAAGCTAAATAAAGACAGAGGGAATGGGGAGGAAGACAGACAAGCTCTAAAGAACCAAACACATATCAAAAGTCATATTGGAAGAGCAGTGAAGGAAACAGTCATGAGCAAAGCATGCCCATTCTGTTCCACTGGCATCTTTGCATTGTTGCCAGCTAGAGGAAAAAAAAAAAGATCAGAAATGCTTATATTAAAAAAATTAGGATGATATTTAGGCTTTACTATTATAAAATACTAATTTAAAAATTACTTATCTAGACAGCTGTGTGCTTTTCTTAAAGGTCAAACATTTAATACACTTTTATCAAACTATGTGAATACCTCATTTTTTAATTCCATATAATATGCATGAAAATGGGTGCTGGGATATGAAATGGATTTTTATTTTAAATCTACAATCTTATTCTGTTTCTTTGGTTCCTCACCCCTTTCCAAATCCCACTCTCCCCCAAATAAAAATAAAAGCAAAAATACAAGGTATCCATTGCTGCATAATGTTTACAAGTACTGGAAACACTTTAATAATTTTTTTCCATCCAAACAGTAGGTGACTACTAAAACTTGCCACATCTGGTAAGTCCATGTGAGTGACACTATTTTCCTGAATTACTAGAAATACCTTTTTTTTTTTTTTCCCCAAAAGCAAAAGCACTACAGGCAAAGGTTAGTTAATTGGCCAACACAAAGATTAGCCTAACAAGTGCACAATCACAAGATTAATAGCCTGAACCCATAAATGGTTTAGCACAACTTACAAAAATATGAAATCTAGTATGCATATAAAATAACATACAAAGCATGTATTTGAGCCAATAACACAACAACAAAATTAAAGAATGCTTAATGATCTTTTTCTGATACGATATTATGTTGGATTTGTGTGGGTGGGCCGTTTTTGGTGGTGGGGAAAGGGGCTGTAGTGATGGCCCCTGTGAGAAGCTTCACAAAGCTCCCCTGGCTCCAAGGCAGATCAGGAATGAAGGGAATAGCAAGGAAAGAAGAGAAGGAGGCGTCCACAGGAGTGCAATCTAAACAGTTTCTTACTTTGCTTCACCAAGGAACTGCAGTACCTACAACTGCCTTGTGCACACTTCCTGTCCAGACTGTATATAGTCTATGCACTTGGTTGCTGTCTCTCACCATGCACCTATTTCAGGGGCACGCAGTCAAGATTCACAGCTTCTTTCCCACTGGGGAGGCCACGCTGTTACCTCTGGGTTCCTGGTAGGCTACAGGAATGGCCTGCAAAAATACTTTTAACCTGTCTGCCCTGCAGCCTTAGCCTGAGCAGTAAGTGAGAAGTTCTTCACTTCAAAGGCTCTCAGAACAGCTCAATCTATTTTAAAATAGGATAGTCCTTTAAAGGAAAGTGATCTGCAAAACATCTACAGTGTGTGAAGCCCATAACCTCCCACTCAATTGGCAGAGACAAATCAATGCCTTTCTAGAGGCACACTGAAGAATCAGCTCTCATCAGAACACATGTTTGTACTTCTCAATCTTAAAAACAAGGCTGCAAGTTTCTACTTGACTTTCTACTGATACCAATATTCCCTTCGTGTAAATGAAGTCTAGAAACAAGCCACATTTATTCAGAATGAAGATATTAGCTTGCCTTTCCAAAAGCCAAATCCTCAGCCTGTGGACAGAGGCCAGTTTCATATTAATAAGGTCCAGAGCAGGTTCCCACCACAAGAAGGTGTGCTGCTTTTCCCTTCATGCTCTCAGTTCTCTTTCACCTTCTTGTTCTGCAGCAATGAAGCTCCAGAGCAGGTGGAGTGACTTACTGATCTAGGAGAAATTTGTGCTAGGGAAAAATATTTGCAGGGAGTGGGGTAGAGGTGTGGGGACAGTAGTTTCCTATAAGTTAAGATGATCCTTTCTCCAGTGAGTCCTTGAAACTGCGTTCAAAGGCAGTCAATAGTAACTTCTATATAGTATAATCCATGCAGCGGCTGAAAAGAGCAACAACTTGACTCCAGTCCATTTGATCCTGATCCTTAACCTCAATTTGCATTATTGTGACAAGGACCTCATCAACCTCAGATTTGTTTTGAAATGGACAGTTTTTCAGACACACTAGCGCTCTGACATGCAGGTTTCTCACATGAATGCACAAGTGTTATCACAGGCATAAAAACTGAAACTAAGGATGCCTGCATATCTTAGCAACTATGAATTTCTCTTATATTGAACTGCCCATGTATCTGCAGCCTGACAGACAACCAGTTCCTATCTTTGGAGTCAAACTTGCTTTCTATTACTTGATTCCCCCTCTCCTCCCAGACTAAAATAAACTAGAAAAACTAACTTGACTACTGGAGTACCAGTAGGTGACCCTATCAGTGTTGTGCAATACGACCTGCATACTTTTTCCCTTGCCGTAAGTTCACATTTCAGAAATTAGCTGACTGCAAAAGGTCGAGGCAAGTAGTGGGATTTCTGTCTAATAAGCAAGTCCTTAAGTTTTAAGGGTCCTGCTCATAAAGCTGGTAGTAAGGTCTGCAGGTGGTACAATTCCAGGTCTGTTAATCAAAATAAAATCTCTTTCTTCTATTTGAAAAATGAGTTTTTTTTACAGTGCTAGTTAATAATTTCAGAAACAACCTCCAGAATAATAGAGCCCAGAAGGAAGCTCCATATTCACAATCATATATGGACCACAGCAGAAGGAAACTAATGGCCTGAATGCCATGTCTGAACAATTTTTTTTAGACTAAAGAGCAAAAACATGAACTCACCTATCTAACTCTACTCTAAACTACGTTCTTCAGAGAATTTCCAGAGTTACTGGAATATGTCACTATGACTACATTGACATATTCAGGATGCCAGACTTATTTTCCAAAGGATAAGTGAATATATTGAAACTTCAGTAAAAATTCTCATACCCTCAATCTTGTTTGTCAACAACATACTTTATGACCTTTCAGCAATAAAACTAGTTGTAGAGGTAACAAATGGTATTATTAAACCTTAACACTTAGTATCTTAATGTCATTACAAACAAATGTTAAAGATAAAAATCAAACCTTTGATTTAAAAGCAAGAAAAACTATTCAATTTGAAGCAAAAACCATCTCTAGCCCACACAAAACAGGTGTTGTTCTACTTTTATTATAATCAGAAATGCAAAATTTTCCAATTGTAGGCATTTTTATTAGAGCTACTGAATTAAATCCAACAGTTTCACAATATTTGGGCCTCTGCACAAGTGATATGCATGCAAGCAGAATGTAAAAAGACAACCATTTAGTACAGGAATAGAGAACTCCTTTGTTTGTCTCAACATACTAGTTTAAAGCAAGCAGTGATTTATGTGACAAAAAACCCAGGTTCTAGAGAAGAGGATGAAATACAGCAAAGATATGCAACCCCCACTCTACACATTAATACAGTACCTGGGCGCTGAATCTGTGAACATCATCAGAGGCACTGACTAGATCAATGGAAGACATGGAGGAAGAGCGACTATAGGGCTACCAGAGACAGACAAAGAAAAAACCAAGTAATCAGAACAAAGGCACAACAGAGCATTCAGTACCAACTTGCAAGCACAAGATAATGAAGAAAAGGAAAACAAAAGCACCATAAGCAGCAAGCACAGCAGCGAATGCTGATTTCATGCACCTATTATGCATTATGCTCCCAGTGTAGCCCTAAGAAGAGCATAGTGTTTCCAGTAACACAAAAAAAAAAAAAGTCAATTGATCCTAATACAAGTGACTGGAATTTTTTTTTTTTTTTTTAATCAATTAAATGAATCTTGCTGAAGGTATCTTAAAAACCACTGAGGGTTAGCCAGTTGGGTTTTTTCCTTGATTATTTAAGTGACAAGCTTGATACAAGTGAAGAATACTCTGAATAGATACTCAAATCAATATTTTTTGAGCCAAGACAGAAAACAGTCCTTCTCCAGTTCCAGCTACTTCATTTGAAAATGAGTAAAGCATTGAAAGTTACTAGAAACACCTAAAAAAAAAAATTCACCTACCCTATAATACAAAATATATAGAAATACCACAGGTCAACCCACTATTCAGAGGAGATAATGAGAAATGTCTTACCTTTTGGACAAATCGATGAGTGCCCACAGCAGAATATGCATCTCCAGAAGGTAAGGATGTTGGCCAGTGTAATCTAACCTTTTCACTTTGGGACTGCAACAAAATAGGTTTAATTATTAGTAGTCAGCTGCTGCTGGGTGGACTATGAAACAGAGTGAGTCATCCTCAATCTACAGAGTGGCTACAACAACTAATGCGGTCCATGACAGGCATGAAGCTGTCATCCTGCTGGAATTCTCACTAAGTGAATAGGTCTGAAGGTTATTTTTCTATACTTCAAGGTGCATTTCTGAGTTAAGAAAAATAGACTGGCAGCATTAAGGACCCATGTAGTAGCACAACAGTTGCTCAAAACTTTTATTCTCCACTAAGAGAACTCAACATAGGTAAACTCTGTTGGGTACTGTATGTCCACTAGAACACCTTTTAATTCTTAACTAAGTCATTGTATTCACTATATTCATAAGCCTAAACACTTTTAACACAAAGGATGCACCACTTTTTTATTCCCTCTCATTTTATATACTGCTATACATCCTCATATTCTTTATATTCCCTCGCATGTATCTCATCCCTTTTTGACCCTTGTCACTCAAGTGTATTTAAGAAATGAATTAGAGAGGTAGCCAGAGCCTACAGAGTTTTTGAATAAAATTAAACACCAACAGAACTACATTTTTCCTATTTCACATACTGCTAGAGTCAAAATAAACTTCAGAGCAATAATTAGGTTTTGACGAGTAGCTGCAGTGTTTGATATTCTTATCTGCACAGCACATCAGTTACATACAAAGGTAAGTTTTATTCAGGACACTTATTTAGGAATTAGAAACTACAGACATTCAATTAGCTTATTATATAGTACTCTTCTATGTACACTGTAAAGTCATTTTCTCAAAATTAGTGTTAGGCAACAATATTTAACTGTAAAAATAGTGACTTAATTATCCTTCTCATTGTCAGAATAAAATATCTATAGTTTTAGGAGATGCATCTGGACTGAGTTTAAGTCACAGAAGTTTCCCATGAAGTGCCCATCATTAAGACCTTTTTCAAGTATCAATACCTGTTCTTCCATTTTATCCTGTCTATCGAGAGCAGCTTCAACAGCATCAAAGAACTCTTCTTCATTGATCAGACTATTAGGACCCTCCTAGAGCATAAAGAAACAAAACTAGTTGAAAATTTTGGAGACATAAGTGTTCCACTGAAGTTAAACATCAGAAACACTTATAGCTGATGGAAGCAAATTTCTTCTGTAGACCTCAAATATTTTCACCAGTATTTTTAGATTACAATTCCTCTGAAACCTCTACTTGTTAAAGGAAGTTCCTCCCTCTAACTACAGTTTAGAGATAGTTGTATAAAGTAGGAAAAGAAAACAGGAAACTGAGTAACAGTGTCAATATGCTTTGACATCAGATTTAGGTTTTAATTAACATATATCTTCTCTTAAAAATGTTTACGGTGTGTCAGTAAAGTACACATATTAACATAATTGTGTAGTTGGACTCCTTCAAAGTATTTCAGTGCCTTAGGGGGGATTTCAAGTATGCGCTCAAAACATAACAAAAGACAACAAAATTCTGGGGATTGCTATTGAAAATTCTTGCAAAGAATAGCTTAACACTGAACAGCAGGTAGAGTTGAGTCAACTATTAAAAAACTTGAGTCTACTAAGTAAAGTGGTAATTTCAGAAAATTAGGTTTACTG